ACAGGCTGTGTGTGCTCGTGCGTTTGCATGCATGTCGAGGTATGTGTATGTTTGTGTGTGAGGCCGCGATGAAGAGCAGCAGCCTGACATGAATGCTTTCACTGACATGATGAAAAGGGACTTCTTGCAGGCAGAGTCGTCTCCGTCTGTGCCAGAAAGCTCGTCACACACACGGCGTTGTGTAAAAATGTAGCCTTGATACACGAGATCTCATACAGACTTCATCAGCACAAATGTACAACGGGCTGAGTGTGTTTGTGATCTGTCAGTTTGCAGATACACTGAGAGTGAAGCAGCCGGTCAGGCAGTGAAAAAGAGTAACGAGAGGAAAACAGAGCTCGAATCCAGCCCAACTCTGTGTGGTTTGTCCTTGAGAGGCAAATATGGATATAAATATTCATGCTTTCTCTTCCACCTTCAGACAGAAATGCTCCAGAACAACAATCAGATTTCTTTTCTCTTCATCTGCATCACTTCTCTGTCTTTTGTCCTTCAATCTTTCTCAAATTAGGGGTCATCTGGAATTTTGGTCTTTTTTAAGTTTTCCATTTGAATTTGAACTTTCATTTGTTGCTTAAATGCTGTTTTATTTTCACTTTGAGTACTTTTATTTTGAAAGGTTTCTCTAGGGCAGGGCTCTCCATGTTACTGCTGTTACACCTTTAACAGGTGATTCATGTTGGCAGTCCTGAACATCTGTATTGTCATTAGGGCTGCCACAAACGATTATTCTGATAGTCGACTAGTCACCGATTACTTTTGCGATTAGTCGACTAATCAGATCATCATCCATTGGACGTAAAACTACAGCTTATTGCACCGGCGGCATCTGCTCTTATATAACTATCATTAGCTTACAGCTTTAAGTGTTTAAGGTCTGTGCTAACTAAAAATAAAGACAAGATGATAGTTTATTAATTTTTAATGAAATTTGCAGATTGTTTCGGTGAAGTTTAATAAACTCCTTGCTATCTAAAATATAACAGGACACCGGAGTATATTCTCGAGCATCTCACACTTCTGATAATCAGCTGTCTGCTTGACGTTTATTCAGCTGTGTAAAAACTATAACTTTAATCTCAGCCAAACCGATTTACTCAGGAACAAATAAAATACTTAAAAAAACCAAACAATAACATTTTTAAGTTATCTAAGTGACTTATATATCATGTTTAACCTGAGTAGCGAAAGACGGCGGTGGGTTTGAAAACGATTTGCCGGGAGTCCGGTGTTCTCACGGCTCTAGTGAGCCTAGCCCCCGGCTAGCTATCGAGCTAGTGGGTAACAGACGTCTCCGAAAACGTCGGAGCGCTTTTGAAAATATGTGGTGTCTTGATAAACTGAGCAGATATTTGAGGTTTACACAGCTACATTCTCGCCTGAAAATATGTTAAACGTTTATTTTGTGACCCAGAAAGAATAATAAGAGTAATATTAAAACTAACTAGCTGCCGCCATTGTTGGACACTGAGCTGGGCTGCGCTATGAATTCTGGGACACAGCTTCTTCTTCTTCGGGGTTTAACGGCAGCTGGCATCCTTGTACATGCAGTGCTGCCATCTTCTGTTTCAGTCCGTTATTACACTCTTAAATCCTACTACTTATTCCTGTCTTTTGTGATCTTACAAAGCTTCAAACGACGCGTCGACTATTAAATCAGTCGTCGACGATTTTGATAGTCGACGTAATCGTGACTAGTCGACTAATCGTGGCAGCCCTAGTTGTCATTAGTAATGATTCATCTTTGCACACGTATGAAAAGAATGAATCTAACATGCAGGTCTTTGGAAAAAAGACGATTTGAATCCCAAACCTTCTAACCGCTGCACCATCGTGTCAGCAATATAAATATACACAGACATACTGGACCTGGTCTTGTCCATTAAGTTAAAAGAGTGAAGGAGCTGTGTTTCTGTCAGTGAGCACAGTGTGATTGATCTTCTTATAGAGTGCCCACGTTTGGATCCAGTTTCTACAAAGTGTTTTGTAACGACACACACTGGCCCCTTTAGAGACTCCCGACTCTCTTCAGTCTGAGTGAGGCTCTGTTTGCTCTCCTCCTTTTCCTCTGATGCCACGTTTCCCACAAGAATCATTAGTCAGCATTGATCTGCCAGAAACTCCAGGCACAGCCGCATTTCAGCCATATTTGGCTGCAGGTTGTTTCGGCCGATCAGTCAGTCAAACTCACATTAGTGTTGTCTGAGCACTGCTCAACTCGAGCGAGTGTGACCTTTGTACAGAGTTAACATGGTAAATGCCACTAATGTGCTTCAGGCTGCTGCGTGTTGTATTTCTACTCTGCTCTCTGGTTTTTGGATCATCTAAAAAAGAAAATATATCTGTAATTAATTACAAAGCCGAGTATCCATTCTGGGGCATGTTGAGGATCAGCACCATGGACAGAGCACCTCCTGCAGCATGAGATCATCACTTTCTCCTGCTCTTACTCATTATTAGACCAAACACCGCCCAACACTTGTGTTTGCCTCAAAACATTCATCCTTTTCCTCAGAATGAAGCCTATAATTGTCCTGTATATATCTCTATAAAGGAACAGCTGTTAGTTTCTTTATCTAACAGAAACTTCATGATGTAATTCAATTGTTATATTAGGGATGATGACAGATTAAACAAAAAGCAATCGTCCATCCATGTCCAGGATGCAGAGTCAGAACTGCCCAGACCTCCCACTTCCTGGCCTTCTACTTCAGCTCCTCTGGGAGGCGCTCTCCAAAAAATATTATCATATGCCTGTTTTGCATAAAATAATTTCCATCATCTCTTTTTCGCCTAAATTCACATTTTACTTTTGTGACATTTCACAAGTTAACTTAAAATCCCCCGACACGTAAATGAAAACTCCGCCCCCCCCTCCTGCTCCCTCCCCCGTTTCTCGTCTTGATTCATGTGCCGTCATCTTCAAACCATTTCTCCTAACTCACACTTTTCTAAAGTCGTTTCTCCCTCCAGAACAGGTTTGTGGGTTAATATTTTACATTTTTCCAGACAAGCAGGCGACTGACTGAGTTCATGTAGACTCGTTAAACTCCAGAAACATATTGTCGAAAAACACCGCAAGGTGTTGTGTGACCTAATTTGAAGCTCATTCTGTCGTTAAAGAAAATCTCAGTGTGATCATTGCTCACATATTTCAGTCTGCGCGCTGCTGCTGATGAAC